TCCACGTGGTCGCGGGGTACCTTGCCCCGAATGGCGGCGTAGTCACGGTAGAGGTTGGGGTGAAACCATCGCCAAACGGATTGCCATTTGCTTTTGAGGTGCAGATGCGGGAGACCCGTGTCAAGAGGTGTGGACGCTGCGGAGGCCTCTTCTTTGGCGAGCTGAGCGGATTCTTCCACGTCGAGAGTGCGGGGAAGGAAGGAGTTCAAAGGAGCAAGTGCTTCATTGAGGGACATGTGGGCGAGAACGGTGAGGATCAAGTAGACTACCATGATGATCAGGGGCCCAATGGCGCCTTTGATGGCGAAGAGACCAATCAAGCAAATGTCTGCCAGGTAGAGGCCGGTCATCAGGTGTTGGAGGGCCCGGGGGTAGACAAGACCCTTGGTGTCGATGCGAAGATCGTAGACAAAGAGGAAGTTGTATCGGTAGGCTTGGTACACAAGGTAGAGACCGACGAATGCGAATCCGAGAATTAGGGGAGCGATGCAGGAGTAAGTCAGAGCTGAATTTTGGCAGTTGTTAGCTAGTGACACGTCAGACAGGGCGAGACAACATACCTATCACACCCATGTTCGTGAAAACCGGAAAGACATTGCCCCAGCTTAGGCCACTTAGTGTTGCCCATCGCCGGTACAGTCGGCGTGGTGTGCGGTCAAGGAAGGTCGTGATGAACTTGAATACAACTGCTCCGGCGACTTGCACCACCGCCATAGAGCTCATGGTTAGGCCCTGTAGAAGAAAGTATGAGATGTAGAAATTTGTGGCTTTCGGTAAGTTTTGAGCCAGTAGGTCTTTGGCTGACAGCGGATTTTTGATGATTTGCGCAGTCGCCGCGGATGCGGCAGATGTCAAGGTAGTAACAAGAAATACTTGGACTACTTGGAAGCAGAAATGTGCACTTTGGGTGAAAAGCTCAACACGAGCATCCGAGGGCACACCTGCGCATCTGGCACATGCTGTATACCTCGTTACAACCAATTCTCACAGAAAAGAAGGATCAGCCATACCTCGACAGATAACAGGGACCAATGACATTAGCATCGAAAGGGCAGCAGACGGCAACAGCCCCGATATGAGGCCGATGATGACATCTGGTAAGTCATTGAGAAAGCCCAGAAATGGCACCAGGTCGGTAAGAGAACTGATGTTAGAAAGTGTGCCAACTAAGGCTGATGGAATGGACCAAAATATGACCAGAGCTGCAAGGCCACCTTGAACCAAGAACCTGCGCCCGATGCGCTGCCACCAACTAAGATTTAATGCTGACCAAACGACCTCATTGGGAGAGATACCGATGAAGCGCGGAGTCATATGCAATGGCTGATGATGCGACAGCGTTTGTAGAGCGATTTGCGCATCATTTTGCGTGTAAAACTCGATGAAGACCGCGGATAGATTCTTCATCTCTCCATTTCTATGTTTTTTTTGAAGATCGTCGACCTCTTCAATGACCTTGACAAGCTCAGCTCGCAGCCAACGGATCGTATCAACCTTCTTGCCAAAAGGCTTGGGGCGATGAGTTGGCCTTCGCACACCATGATACCAGCCCGATGTGTCCGCTTCACAATCATGACAGGCATCAGTCTCTAAGCAGGACTTGGAGGGGGAAGCTCCTTTCCTAATGGCTCTAAGACGAGCTGAGTTCGCTGCCCGAATAAGTTTCGTTTCGGCGCTTTCGAGCTTATAAGCTAGCTTGTCTCTTTTCTGAACCTTGTCGTCCAACTTCTTACAGTCGGAGGTGATCCACATACGCCGGATCGACTGTCCAAAGACCTGACGCAGTGTCTCCTCGTTCTTATATTCCTCGGGTACCGACATGAACAGCACAGTCCTGGATGATATACGACGCGCATAAGCGGGAGAATTCAAGTACGCCTGTCGCAAGTTGGCATAAAATATGCTCTCTCGCGTGATAACGAAGAAGACAAATGCTGTCGACTGTCAGCGACGTCCAGAAGTATTCTGAGAAGATCACCTCACTGAAAAATATACATGCCATGACGGCATGAGCGTAATAACGCTTAGGATCCGTGACGTTGCTAAAGCTCAGCGCATCGAGTTGAGTATTTCCCGCACCTCCAGTGGCATGTATAGGCAGAAGGATAGGCCAAGTGATCACGCATCCAGTGAAACATGTCGCAGACAGAACACGCAGAAATCGCAAGAAGAGATAGCCGTCCAGAGACGAGTTATGCAGCACCTGGGCATCATTGATCCTAAAGAATTCTCCAAACCAATTGACAAATCCTGATGGCAAACGTGGCGCTCGCTCACTACGTAGCTTCTAAGTAACTTCCTGTGGTAGCATATAAGGGTGGAGTGGATGCTACGTACTGTTTATGCCAGCATGGCAGATGAGTTCTGGGTGCATACCACCGCAGCTGAGTTCGTCGACAGATCAAAAACAAGCCAAACCAAAAGGCCGCGATCACCAAGGCAGGGATCAGAGTTGTTAGAAAAGCTGAAAGGGAAGTTGAACCCCCACCAAGTCCGAAATCTCCTATTACATCGGAACTTGTCGAAGAGGCGTTGCCCCGCGAGGAGCCAACGTTGGGATCATTGTCTGAGCTCTGATAAATTAATCAGCACGCAACCCACGGAATACACACGGAATGGGCTTACGAGAATGTTGTTCCGCTTCACAAGCGGATCAAGCACAACTCGAAGAGCCATGTCACTGGGCCATACAGTTGTACCTTGCAGGCGAAGAAAGGAAGGTCAAAGGATAGAATTGCTCTAAATATACGCGAACTTCAGAGGACAATCGCATCTGCCCCTAAAGCCCCCCACCACAACAAGCTCTCGAATTCCGGGTCGTGTCCGACGTATTTGAGTGGCAGGCATGTCGAACCTGTCACTTGAGGCACAATCCACGCAAAAGTACATAGCCTGGAAGGGCTGAAGCTGCAAAGCATGCAGGCTAGCGCGGTGTGACTCGAGAAGTGGTAGACTGGCCAATAAGGGTGGTAGGAATGTGAATGGTCGCGTATCGATGTTGATTGTGGGTTCTTAGTGGTTATCAGTTGTGGTTCGCTTATCTGCTATGCCGTTGATCAGAAGCACGAGATGCCACACTCAAAATTACATCTCAAGGAACAGAGTCCACAATTGCAGTAAGAATCGTCCAACTTGACATGGAACCATGCGATCAGTGGGGTTTGGTCGCGGACGAGCATATGATGAGATACCGAAGAGCTGCGCACACCAGGTCATCAGCTGAGCCAACATGCAGACCATGCATGAGATCAACCCTAGGAAGGGCGCTCTTGTAGCGGTCGGCGATTCTCAATGGTTCTTGATCCTTCGGACAAGCAATGTGGAATCAATAGAGGATGGGGCGCTGCCGATCGGCGGATTTAGCTGATCATCCCGGATGGAGCTTCAGCCAGCAAGGGATGGCTGCCTTGGACACTCTTTGCTGTACCGCGAGAGTCAGTTAGAAAAGTTGCACCGTAGCATACTTTCTTGCTTCATTAATGACTTAATTCAGGATCCTGCACGTAATGAATCTGTGACCTGGTAGACCTGCCTCCGGATCCGTATCCATTTTTTGGCCAAGCAGGTGCAGTTGCAGTGACAGCTCGGGCTTTTCCGAGTGGGACATCCACACCATTATTTCCCAAGTAGGAAAAGGGGTTGGTGGGTGCACATCAGCCCCATACGGAACGGAGCATTGAGGTAAAGTTCTAGAGGAATGTGTACAATCGAGAGGGTATAGAATGAAGAGCAAGATGGACAATTGATTGTCGCGGGAAGAGTGAAGCCGGTTGATGTGGAGGGGAAACTCGGGAGGGAGTGAATCAGCGGGCTTACCATGGGAATAGCGGCTAGATGGTCAGCCCGCAGTGAGTGTTCACCCAGGTCCCGGCGCCTCGGCCCGTACATGGGGATGAGAAGCATTTTGGAACACTGAAAAGCTGATTAAGTAAAATGGAAACCTAGGCTTTGATTAGTGTTGGGGCGGCGCTTCATGATAAAAAGTCATGCCATCTTCAGCACTGCATGTCATTCGTTGGCATGCCATAAAAGAGCTTCTGAGCATGGGAGTTGAAGAAGTCGATACAATTATAGCTCTTTTTCGCTTCGTGGGATGGAGTGTGGAGTAGCACAAGTGTCGGGGAAATTTCTTTTCAAGGAGATTATTGTCAAAGATATGGGTCTGGTGATTCCTAACCAAGGAGCTTTGAAGGACGTACAGCCGAATGTATCAATAGGCAGACATACTAATTGAAGGACAATCAGATCATTGTCTCTATTATAAGCATCTAGGGCAGATCCGAGCATGAGTCAGCAAGCAGCTGCCTTCAATCTCTGGTGAAGATGGCAATATTCTGGTCTGAGAAGTATAGTGAATAAGGTTCGACTCGTACCTTAACTGGGTGGACGTACGCCTTTTGAACTCAGGGGGGCGTTTCAATTGTAGACAGGCCGGCTGGAGCGAGAGACAAGAAAGCGGCTCATCAATCATTGAATCTGTTTGGAGTTCTTGCCTAGTTTCGTGGTTGACATTTCCAGATCCAGCTGGGCTTATGGTGAGACGATGTCACTCCATGCTGGTGAGGCAAAACATTGAGCCAAATCCTTATAGTATGTACAACATACTAGTTATCGGGTTGAGGAGAGTTATTGTAGATTTGTTGACCGTGGTGATCCTTAAAGCGACCGCAAGGCATTGTGATGCTGCTCTTGGACTTACGCCTTCTCATAGTGCACTAGGAGAGGTCAGTGACCACGATCAATCAAAAGCACAGCAAGACCTACCAAGCCACTCGTGCATGTTTCTTCCCTTTCCGGAGGATGGGTAGGGCAGGGCTCCTGGAGAGCAGCGTCCAAAGACCCGCTTGGGTCAAAAAGATGCTTCGGTTGCTTGAGGATGTTTAAGAACTCGAATGAGTGAAAGATAGAAGACTGAAAGGTTGAGAAAGAAACAATGGTGAAGCTGACTGCAGCGGTACGTGAACGGTCCGCGGCAAGATGAGACCTTCCCCGCAATCTCCATGGGTACTGGCCCATGGCGACACCTCCTAGAAGCTCGAAGAAAAGAAGTCAACAAGATCAACTTGAACAGTTAGCAGCGATGCTTTTGTGAGAAGCCTCCGGTTTTGGTCGAGCACTTGAGGTGGGAAGCTGAATTGAAGATAATATGGCTTGTCTTCGGATTTGCAAGTAACGCTCAAAATCCATTTTCATTATAGGGCTTCCTTTTGTTTCTACCCTTACGTAAGATCTTGACATGATCTTGCATGTCTTGGGCGTTTTACATGGTGCGTTCAATCTTTCTATTCTTCTATCGAATTGTAAGACCGTATTGCTGAACCGAACATGAGCGGCTCCATTATGGGCCATGGATAGGAGTAGCCGCTTCAACTACGGTACGATGACACTCATAGGATGTAGGTACAGTACCTAATTATCCATATTAAAATACTGCTTGAAACCCATGTTCAATCAAATGCTGTGGGTTAAGGTGGAGAGTGTAGATTGAGTTAGAGTGAGACCGGTCCACATTAAACGAAAACGAATCCGATATACGATTTCCTCTTTGGGAAGTATAGTATGCCGACTGGAACAATGTTCACTTGGTATAAAGCTCGTCTGGCAGCATCCAATCTTTCAGGAGTTTCTCAACTATCAATAACTCAGCACGATCTCCTGATCTCCTTTGAAGTTCACCGACCCGCAACATCTACACAATGACAGGCACGTCGAACTGCGCCGAGGTCACACCGCAATGCCCTGTCTCGGCAACCACTTACGGGCACCGGCCCAACCTGGGAAGTAATTGCTTGTTCGCAGCCATCTTTGGGTTCTGTGCGGTATATCAACTGGTGGCAGGCATCAGGTCTCGCCAGACAATGTTCACCATTGCTCTCACAGTCGGCTGTGCGATGGAGCTGATCGGATACACCGGGAGAATCAAAATGCACACAAACCCGTGGGATAGTGGTTACCTTGAAACCCAGACCATCCGCTTGATCATTGCTCCATCCTTCGTGGCAGCTGGGATTCTATTGGTCCCTAAAGCATATTGTTATGGCTCTCGCCCTGGAAAAATCACTGCTACGGCCTGATCTTAATCCGTGGCTCTTTGTGGGTTGCGACATCGGCTCTATCCTACTTCAAGCAGCTGGGGGCGGAGTTGCCGGAGCAGGAAAATCGACCAACCCATAGCTTCTCAATACAGGCAATAAAATCATGATTGCGGGCATCGCATTTCAAATCGCAACGGTAGCAGCATGTGGTGTGCTAGCCGCAATATCTGCCGTTCGTTTGATCAGAGAAGGCCGCCCGGAAGAAGTGCTCCGAGATGAGAAGATGTCCCCGAGAGCGACTCGTCTGTTCAAGTATCTCTGTTTCGGGAAGATCCTTGCTTATGTTACATTGCTCATTTGTTGCATCTATCGGTACGTGCCCAGCTGGTTGACTATGATAGCATATAGCTAATTCCAGATGGCTCAGACTTCCCGAGATGGCCGGAGGCTGGGGCAATCCCTTCGGTTGATGCAAAACGAAAAGGAATTCATGATCTTGGATGGCGCATGAGTAGAGAGTGATATTCCTTCAATCAGACTGAAATTTGCTGACATTACTGTCGGTGGACGTTTAGAATGGTTGTAGCCGCCGTCATTGACTCTTAAGGCAGAGGACTCAGACGTCGGAGAATTCGAAAAGGTAGAATTTGGGATGCGGTGGAATCCATCGCGGAAGTCTTCCAGGCGAAGTGAGCAGGCCTCACATAGGAAGAAACGGCGTGCTTTTCTCTTCTGATACTATTCATATCTCTCTAGAGACTGCCCGGTGGGAAAGTTATTTTTCAACATTGATGGAGAAAATCATCCTACGACTTGTGATTTGTATGATTTGCACGTAACGTGCCTGTACTGAACGATCGATCAAATACAGTACTTTCTGACGAACAGTAAGCGGAAGTGTAAAGTTTCCAGGATTGGCATTCCGATTGGTATAAGAAGAGTCAGGGGGGTAATGGTACTGTAACAGAAGGATACAAAGCCCGTCACAGAGCCCAATAATTAGAGCAACCGTTAGTCAAACCTCTTCTCATTGCGCTAACTTTCCTCCATCATGCCCATAACACGAAGGCTTCTTCGGCGAGAAATCCGCTACGAATCTGCCAAGGAAGAGGAGACAAACATTCTTCATCACCTAGGATACTATGATAAGCGAACTGAATTCTTTTCTCATCTCCACAATAATCAGGGCTGGATTCAAAACACTGTTGCGCACCACTTGAACCTAAACACCCCCGATCTGTGTCATGTATCGGATATTGAGGACTGGTTACATAGGAGCTTCAACGTTTGCGTTCCGGTCACCATACGCCCCAAGGGTATCAAGGTGATTCTTCGACTCCCGCTCCCCTATCGGGTCGGTGAGGATTTTAGGCCGGGGAATGGAGATGAAAAAGTTCGATGTGAAGCAGGGAGCTATGCATGGCTACAAGCGAACTGTCCAGACGTGCCGATTCCAGAACTCTATGGGTTTGCCCTCTCAACTGGTGAAACTGTACATGGCCACTACCATCTCCCATCCCACCCCAGCTAATCTGTTTATCTCTAATTCACTTGCCTGGAAAACCTGCCGCTCCTATCTCGGTGGTTTCATTTTATTCGGCATCTGGCTGGCGCATGGCTAGGGTTTCCAGTGCCATCCCGATATGTTCCCCATCGGCCAGCTAGAAACGAGCACGCCGTTACCTCCAGCTATCTGCTTCTCGAATACATCGAAGCAACCACCCGGGGACGTATGCTGTCAGACACATGGGCAGACGCTCGAATTGACATCAAACGGCGGATGAATCTTTTCCGCGGCCTCGCGCGCATTCTCCTGCGCATCAGCCAGACCCCAGTCCCCAGGATCGGCTCTTTCATCATCGACCCCAAGGGGTATCTCGTGTTGGCAAACCGGCCCCTTTCAATGGAAATCCAGCAGCTGGAGAACGAACACATACCTACAGGCATTCCGCGGGACTATACGTATTCCACTGTGGACTCCTATGTGACAGATGTTCTCGACTGCCATGACAACCGGTTTCGGCATCAGCCTAACGCAGTCAACGACCTTGGGGACTGTGTGTTCCAGCTCGCTTCCCTCGCAGGGATGCGGACCGTCTCCAAATCAATCTTCCAGAAAGGCCTTCGACGCGGGCCATTTGTGTTCTCGCTGACTGATCTCCACCAGAGCAACATCTTCGTGGATGCGGACTGGAATGTGACGTGCCTGGTGGATTTGGAGTGGGCTTGCGCTTTGCCGGTGGAGATGGTTCGGCCTCCCTATTGCCTCACCAATGTGGGTGTCGATGAGCTGGCGGCCTCTGAGTACGATCCGGTGCGTACAGAGTTCATGGACGCTCTGGCAGTCGAGGAGAGAGCAGTCGCGGTGACGGCTGGACATAGCAACAACTCGCCCCCGCTACTCTCCGAAATCATGCAAAAATCCTGGGCGACGGGAACGTTCTGGTATACGCTTGCTCTCTCCAGCCCGTCGGGATTCTTGATAATTTTCAAACAGCATGTGCGACCACTTTTTTGCAAAGATCAAGTTGAGGAATTCAATACGGTTATACCATTTCTTTAGGACCGGGATATAGGACGCATCGCAGCTAAAAAGCTGTCTGATAAAAAGGAGTACGACAGACATCTTCAACAGGCGTTCGAGGCCAAGTTCCAGACATGATTTTCCCTGCGTCACGAAGTGCCTCGACTTTGAGGATGCCATTCCATACAGATTCCACAAAAGACCTGACATACATGAAAAGGACAACGCCCAATATAGAACGAGCACTGATACACTCAGCTCTCCCGCAAAAGAAACCCCCCAAACAGCAAACCCTGCCAAACGCCCTCAGGATCATACTCCTCCGCCACCGCCTGCATGCGCTCTACATTCTTCGCGCCGTAGCTCCCCAGCACCTTCTGCCCCGCCCCCGCAAACTTCATACACTTGAAATCGAGATACACCCCCTCTTTCCTCGCCAGAGCCTCCACCATCTCCGCCATCGTCCGCACCGCCCCGTGCGCAGCAGCATCCACATCCTCCCCAGCATCCTGCGACCACTCAGAGGTAAAAACCCACCAGCACTGCGGCACCGCCTCCAGCCCCATGATATTCCCGCCCCGGTCGCTTCCCGCCTGCACGCCCGCCGTGCCCATGGGCTGGATCGTGTAATGCAGCACACAGCCAGCGGGAAGTGTCTTGCGCAGCTGCATCCAGCACAGATAGACCCGGTCATACAGATCATGCGAGACCCGCGTAGTCACGGAGGTAATCGCTCGCTTCCCCGGTAGATCCTGGGCGTGGCCCATGACTTTGGCGAGCGAGAGGAGCGTGCCAGTTGTGGTGGGCAGCGCCGTCCCCGTTTTCCGGGGGTGGAGGTCGTGGAAGGGCGTGAAGGCGGACGCAGAAGCGGACGGTGATGATGCAGCTGGGTGGTGGTCGGCGTAGAACATGCCCACGGCGACGACGCCGTCGTTGAAGTTCGTGAACAGTCCTATCTTCGGATCCTCCTCCATGGCCATCTGTACGGCCGCCGTGGCTTTATTAATTTCCATATAATCATCAGGGCTGTAGAGTTCGATGGTATATCGGATAGAGCGTAGAGGATGAGTCTCGAGGTCGAACCGCGTCACGATGCGAAAGTTGGTGCCTCCGCCTTTCAGCGCTCGGTAGAGCTCGGGGTGTTCGTAGGCGTTGGCATTGACCAGTCCGCCGTCTGCCAACAGAACCTGGGACACCCGCATTTCGTCAGAACCATGAAAATCGGGAGCAAAGAAGAACACCTAAGTGTGCACCTGGAAACTCCGGACCCCATCCGCCCCCCGTCCCATACAGATTCGGAAACGCCCCCATCCCTCCTGCAATCCCACAGATTAGCCACAACATCCACAATCACTGCAGAGAGGAGGAGACAACAAACCTCCCAGAACAGACCCCGCCACCCCAACCTGCACCTGCCTCGCCCCGACAGCCTCCAACCCGCGTGCCTCCAACCACCCATACACCTCGCCCCAGGTGCACCCGGCCCCGATCCGCGCAGCTCCCTCCGCCGTGAGCTCCATCTCCCGGAACCGGCTGAGATCCAGGACGAGCGCCGATCCGTCCGCGCTGCTGAACCCGGCGTTGGGGTTGTGGCCTGTCGAGCGGAGGGCGAATCGGGCGTGGGTGTGCTTGAGGATCGCGAGCGCTTGCGTGAGCTCGGCCACGGTTTGCGGGAGGAGGTAGCCTGCGGCGCGGGTCCAGCAGGTTTGGGACCAAGGGCCGGTGACGGATGTGTGGTATTGGGCGGTGAGGGCGGGGGTTATTGCTCTATCCTGGAGGAGGGGTTGCAGGTGCGCGAGGGCGAGGGTGGTTGGTTTGTTGGTGGTGGTGGTGGTGGTGGGCATGGTGGTGGGCATGGTGTTTGTGGGTGGTTGAGGGGTGTGGACTCTGAGGGGTTATTTATGGGATTTGCTGGGTAAGCACTAGGCTAGCATTGGAGTTCAGTTTGTAGTGAATTAAGAAAGCCTGCCGTAGCATGTCCCATAAGACTCAGGTGGTACGTTAGTTGCTAGGAAAGGTGTTAATCTTCGATATACCTATAACTAGTGGTGGTTTTCTGGTCTATACTCCGCAATGTCAGCCCTAGATTTAGCGCCCGGATCTTTGATCCACTTTGTCTCCACATCGATACACGGTATGGCCACTCATAAATACACACTAGCTAGCTGTCAGTTCGGAGTCGATGCGGCTTATGAATGGGTCGATTGAGACATGATGGTCTAGATAACTAAGGGGAGTATGTCAAGTACTTGCAAAAAAATGAAAAACTTGATTAGCTAAATTATCATACTTTGAGAAAGCCAACTCAGCTTGTGGCGGGCACTTCTACATACAATCACAGCGATCCACGATCCGACTCCGGAATCGACCGCAGCGAAGTATGAATCCCCTTGGCCGAGGAAGGGTGCATCGTCACCGGATCCTGCCTCGACTCAGTACAACCATCCAGCTCCAGGGCCGTCTGATTCGGACAACGTGGACGAGGAAGGCCCACCCGCCGCGCCAGCTCGTAATGCCGCATCCCGAGGCTCAGCAACCCGGCGACGCCGCTCATCGCGCAGCAAAAGGCCCACACCACGCGCAGACTATCCACAAACACTGTACGGATCTGCCGTTTTGTCTCGGGGTCGGGGATCTGATCGATCAGACTCACGAGCGCGACTGGGTCCAGGTGGTTATTCGTCATCGTGGTGGTATGCGTGCGAATGGCCTCGAGAACCGAGTCGGCCAACGTGTGGGCACGCACGCGGTTGGCGAAAATGGTGCCGCCTAGCGCCACGCCTAGCGTCTGGCCGAGGGCGCGGAAGAATGTGAACATCGTGGCGGCGGCGGCGGTTTGGGTCGGGCTCGGGGCGGCCGCCAGCACGGCCAGATTGAGGGCGGAGAATAGCATGCCCAAACCTAAGCCGATGACGATTAGACATACGATCCAGAGGGCGTTGGTGGTGGTCACGTGCACGAGGCAGGTGAGTCCCAGCCCCAGCGTGGTGGCGAGCCAGCCAGCCCAGACAAGGGCCCGGTATCGGCCCAGTCGACTGATCAGGATGCCCGTCGCCATGGCACCGGGGACGACGGTGAAAGTTACGGGAAAGAGGGCGACGCCGGAGATTATTGGCGTGTAGCCCTTGACAGCTTGAAAGTAGAAGGGTAGGTAGTACAGGCCGCAGGAGAGGATTAGGCCGTGGGTCATCGTGCCGATGTAGCCGGCGAGGAGAGACCGGGTGCGGAAGAGGGCTAGCGAGATGACGGGGTTGGCGGGCACGTAGAAGCCCTCGTAAGTCACGAAGCAGACCAGCGCGGCTATACCAGTGAGCAAGGGCGTGAGCGTGTGCCACGAGCTCCAGGCGTACATCACTCCTCCCCACGTCACGGGGATCAATACGGAAGTGATACCCCCGGTGAACAGCAGGATACCCCCAAAGTCAATTCCACCCGGCTTGTGTTGCTGGGAGACTGGCAGGGGCTGCAGTCGCGTAAAGAGGATCATCAGAGTGAGTCCCAGGGTGATGAGGGGAAGGTTGATGTAGAAGAGCCATCGCTAACGAGCAATTAATTTCCTGGTGTTGAGAGGCATGAGTCGGGCAGCTAGGTTGAATGCACATACCCAATCTACCTCCTGTGCCAAGGCAGCTCCGACCACCGGACCAGATGTTGAGCCAATAGCCCACACTGAGTTGAGCCCGGCCAGGTATCGTCCTCGCAGCCGCAACGGCACCAGGTCGGTCAGGATGACTTCGGAGAGATTGGTGATTCCACCGGCTCCCAGCCCTTGAATACTACGACCAACAAGCAAGGTCGTGGCGGTCGACGCTCGACTCGCAGTCACGGTACCCGCAGTGAAGGACACAATCGCAATCAGCATCATCGGCTTCCGACCGACGATGCTGGATAGGGAGCCATATACAGGCTGGAAGGCTGTCTCTACTGTTAGTCGCACGGTCCTCACGGAGTTCAATCCACTCACTAGTCGAGCATATCAGAGACGAGGTTCCTGCCCAGAAGGCTTGAACGGAAGTCAGTCCGAGATCCTGGGAGATGGTCTGTGGCGACATTGAGTGAGTGCTGCGGAATGCTTTGAGCGGCGTTATACTTACCGGCAAAGCGGACGATAACGAGGTGACATTCAAGATTACTGCCAGCATCAAAAGAGACAGAGCCAGAAGTGTGAGGGGAAGGCGGAGCGTAGAATTGACTCTAGCAGGAGCCCAAGTATCACGGCCAGCTTCAGATTCCGTACCTGCAGAAACAACAGACATGGCTGTGATGTTCCTGCAGCTCAGCGAGAGTTCTCCTAGCTCGTTGATTGCTATTTCATCGAGGGGACTGGAAGGTAGAACATGTCACTGTTGGGAATCGTTGCTTTTTCTAAGCGACCCCCTTGCATGAACCGCTCCATCCAGCTGAAAGGCACTATGTCAAGTACCCGACGATCATTGACGACGATCATTGATGAGGATGAACCGACACAAGTCATTATCTTCAATATAAATTACTAGGTCATGGAACTCACCCAGCGTAGTCCTGAGCTCAGCTGAGCAAGTCAATTCCCCTTTCCCTTCTCTCTACTCCTCTCACGTTTCAACCCCCCTTTCTCCCAGCCGCTTCACATCATGGAACCGCTATATGCCTCCAGCTGCCACGGCCAGTTCGATGTCATATCTTGCAGGTTGTTAGTCAGATCCGGCACCTTCGGGCCGACACTGCTGGTCTGGTTGACAGTCTTCTGTGCGCTTCTCACTCAATTCGTTTTCACATCCCCACTACTCCGCAGCATCTACGGAACCAAGTTTGCGGCCCTCACCCCGGCGGAGCAGCGCCGCGTAGGCCTCCTGCACGTGGGGATCGTGATGAAAGTGTGGGGCTTCGTTTTCATAGCGGTTCCCAGCTATCGAATCATCGTCCAGGGGCAGTATTGGGATGAACGGGGCTTGGTGCCGGGAATGACGCTGGCCGATATGGCCACCACCTCTGTCATGGCCTTCGGAGCGCTCGGCCTCTTCGATCTGATATACAGCGAGAGTCTGCGACCGATCTATTTGCTGCATCATCTGGGGACTCTCGTCTTTCTCCACGGCTACCTGTATATGGTCATGAGCCTTCCCGCGGCCCCAGAGAAGACTGCCGAGGGTCTGGAGCGGCTGGTGCTTCTCGTACAGATCTGTTTAACCTGGGGTATGTTCCTTTCTGCATGTCTGCAAGTCTGTCAGCCTGCGGGAAAAAAGTACTGACTTCCGCAATCGTGGCGTAGTGCTCTTCTCCAGCATAGGCAGCATCATCTCCCGTCTCACCTACCTCATCCGTCAGCTGGGCCCTTCGTCCTGGTCTCGCCATTTGCACCGAGTGTTCCTCACCGGACTCGCCATCTTCAGCTTCCTCTCCACCCTCGAAGTGGTCGTGATTGCGTTTCTCATATTCACTAACCGCGACCGGCTGTCGAGCGCGGCACCCGCCGTGGTGAGCCTCTTTCAGGTCGTCTTCACCGCGACGAAGATCAAGACTGCGCAAAGAATTCTAAGCGTGTATCGGCGCCAGGCGCAGGAGGTTGTGGCCGCCGATGACAAGCACAGAGCTGCTGCTTCTGCTGATGTTGCTGCCGCTGCAATCGCCAACCTCGCATCTGACTACTGTGGCAGCAAGGGGATGGAGAAGAGCAGGGAATTTTCTGTCTTGCGCGCCGGGGCGATGAAGCTCAAGTAATCGAAACAGTGGATTTCTCGTAGGAGTTGATCGGCCATCGATTTGTTTATCGGGGAGGATGTGGCGTAAGGGAGGGAGGGAGAGCTCATTTGTATGGGCCAGACCGTGGAGGTTTAGTCTTGCGAGGAAAAGGCACTGGTCCACAAAACATACCCAGTAGATAAGAACGATGCTTTATGCAGGAGACGTGAAGAAGAGAGAGGCCTGTGCGTAGTGTAATCACGAGTGTAGCCAGTTCAATAATTCATGAGTACCCCGCTTGTGAGGGGCTAGATTGTTCCCTGTGGGGAAGAAGGGAATAGAGATAGACGTAGATAGGTTGGAAGCCAGCCAAGACAAACAACACAACAATCAGCGACCTGTAGATGCACAGCACAGATACTCCCAGTTTTTGTCTCTGAATGGTCCCACGGGAGAATGATACAGGTCAGAAACTATGCCGAACGTCCCGATCTAATGGCGATCTCCGTCAAGGACTAGACAATCACTTGGTCGAAGCCATGTCTCCACCGTCTATTAATATGCTGAATAAGTCACCTGTCGCTCTCTGACATGTCAAATCCTAGAACCCCCCTACTCCAGTACCCCTCGCTTCCTTGCCTTCCCCGTCGTTACCTCTACCCATTTCTCGCCGTCTTTCTTCATCACAATCGGACAAGATCAACCTCATACCATCGAGAATGGCACCAAAGATCCCAACCAGAGCCGCTCAATTACGCCAACTGCTTACCAGACCGGGCCCAGTACTCATGGTCGGTGCGCATGATGCGCTTTCCGCACGTATTGCCGAGCGCACAGGCTTCGATGCCATCTGGGCCAGCGGCTTCGGCATCTCTGCGACCCACGCCCTGCCGGACGCGAACATTCTGACCATGAGCGAGACCCTCGAGGCAGCGCAACGCATGGCCGAGGCCGTCGCCTGCCCCGTCATCGCGGACTGCGACAACGGGTTTGGCAATGCGATCAACGCGATGCGCACCGTCACCCAATGCGAGCGCGCGGGCTTAGCAGGGGTATGCATCGAGGATAACATCTTCCCGAAACGGTGCAGTTTCTACGAGGGGGTGCAGCGCGAACTGACAGCCCTGCACGAGCATGCGCTCAAGATCCAGGCCGCCGTGGACGCGCGGACGGATCCCGACTTCGTGGTCATCGCCCGCACGGAGGCGTTCATTGCTGGGCGGACAAAGCGCGAAGCCCTGGAGCGCGCGCGGGCGTACGCAGACGCGGGCGCCGACGCCGTGCTCGTGCATTCCAAGTCGGACTCATTCAAGGAGTTGAGGGAGTTCGCGGCGGCGTGGGACCGCTCGTCGTCTTGTGTGCTTGTTGCGGTTCCAACGACTTATGAGGGTATCTCGGCGGGTGAGCTGTTTGATGCCGGGTTTAAAGTGGTTATCTTCGCGAATCAGGCGCTTCGAGCTGCGGTGAGGGCTATGCAGGATGCGATGGTGGTGCTTCGGAGAGAGGTGCGTCCGGCTGCTGTGCGGGACTCGATTGCGTCGTTGTCGGAGATTTATGGGCTTGTTGGGGTTAATGAGCTGAAGGAGAGCGAGAAGCGGTTTCTACCGCGGCCTGCCTCTTCCCCAGTAACGAATTGCGACGAGAACAACCATCATGAGGAGCTGGCAGGCGATAAAAGACAGGTGATTTCAAAGCTTTGAGCTTTTACTTTGCACAGTATCGAGCTCGAGCGAAGTCCGTTCCTTTGATGTCTCTTGTACATACCTTACTAGACCGTCTGGCTCCTAGATTCAGTTGGACTCAATGATATGACCCGTCTCGCACGAGTACATTGGAGATGAAGAGGATAAACCAGATTGTAGAGGCGGTAGCGGGCTGTGCCTTACTTGACGAGCAGGTAGTCGCGGCTTGACATAGGTAGATTGGAGACCGGCTAACCAGACGGCTTTTCTTGTCCAGCAAAATGCGGACTATGGCCGTGAAGAATAGCAAGCTCCTCAAAGCTCTGCTGACAGATGTGCATGTTGTTATGGTGATGAGAAAATCACCTCGTATACTGTTCATGCAAAGCTCATGGCCGTATGAGTATCCCCGAATTGGGAAAGCTTGTCTTGTAGAAATCAGCTATAACACCGAATAGCTCCGCATAAGCCTCTAGACGAAGAAATTCTCCGCACACCAGTCAAGCTTCCACAAATCAGCTGATACGCTGGCGTGGCTCAATGATGATGGTCTTATCTTGATGAGTAATTCAACACGAGGTTTGGCCGCAGCTCATTGTCTGCGTAGGCCCCGCACTGACTTCACTTGAATCATCATGTTACATGACGGCTCTATCAATGAGCAAAGTAATTCCCTTGCTTGTGTTGGTAGTCAATGGCCCGGCAGCTGCGATCGTGCTTATCTAGACAGTCAGGGCGGAGGATCTGGAACCAACAGCAAGACTCCCTACTAGCCGTATGCAGCATTGACCGCGGCATCTCCGACCTCTCAGACTCCTACCACATCTAGATGTATACGAGAAAACATCTAGGATGTAGATCCGGCAATGAATAATATCTGCGAAGCTTGTCTACCCCGCACAGGCTTGTGGAGGGATAAAAGGAAGCAGTGGCACGTCGAGCGGCTATGCTTTCCGTTGATGAATCTAGTCCGGAAGGTCAAATTCATCTCACTCCGTTTGTATCTTTCGCCAAAAAATCAGTCGCTCGTCGCGTTTGTCAAAATGTCCCTTCCTGCAACATTCAAGCAAGCGGTGTTCCGCTCTGCTGGATCACCGCTCGTGATTGAAGAGAGCCCTCTCACTCCTCCAGGCGACCGTCAGCTCCTTGTCAAGGTCGAGGCTTGTGGCGTTTGCTCCTCGGATCGATGGGCTCAGAATAATGTCATGGGTGGTGGGTTGTAAGTACTCGCTTGGATCTCTGCTCTGCCTTGTTCCCAGCATACAAATTAACTCGTCCTCTGCATGTGAAGCCCTATCGTGCCTGGCCATGAGATTATCGGCCGCGTCGCGGGCCTCGGAAATGGCGTCTCGAACTGGAAAGTTGGGGATCGGGTTGGTGGAGGCTGGCATGGAGGTCACGACGGTACCGGGCCCTCCCCTTCACAGCCATTCCCGGATCATTGATTGTCAAACTCACTACTTGCAGGTACCTGCAGAGCCTGTGACAAAGGCTATTTTCAAATGTGCTCTGCCCAGCAGGTGAATGGGGAGACCAAGAATGGTGGCTGTTCGTTCATCCGCTTCTTCACTTGTCCCGTGGTTGTAGTTCTGAGTTGCTGACATTTATGATCAAGACGCTGAATATTGTCTTCTCAACGTCGAAGCTGCGGTTCGGGTGCCCGAGCACGTCCCCGCCGCAAAATACGCCCCCATTCTCTGCGCAGGCGTCACCGTCTTCAACTCTCTCCGTCATATGGATATTACGCCTGGGGAGATAGTCGCGGTGCAAGGGCTGGGCGGACTGGGTCATCTGGCCATTCAGTATGCGCGGAAGATGGGGCATCGAGTTGTAGCCATCTCGCGGGACTCGAAGAAGGAGAAGATGGTCCGAGAGCTGGGCGCGCACGAATATATTGACGAAAGTCAGGTTAATGTGAGCGAGGAGTTGCAGCGGCTGGGTGGAGCCTCTTTGGTCATGTCGACTGCGCCAAATGCGGCGATTATCAGTCCTTTGCTGAAGGGGTTGGGAGTTCTGGGAAAGTTATTGATCTTGTCTGGTAAGTACGGAAGAGATGATGGTTGAGCTGTTGTGGTGAGAAAAAGGAATTGACATAGGTCTCAGTGCCGGGTCCGGTGCCAGTGGACACCTCAATCATGGTAAGTTAGCTCTACACTAGGCGGGATACTGGATGTTGATGCTGGCTTCGCTAGGTCAATAAAGGACTATCGGTGCAGGTTTGGCCATCAGGCCATGCAACTGACAGCGAGGATGCTATTGCCTTCACCGAATTGCAGGATATCAACTGCATGGTGGAGGAGTTTCCGCTGGATAAGGCCAATGAGGCCTATGGTAAGACTCGCTATATGTCCTTATGTGATTAAAGAGGGCGCGTCCTGTGTGAAGGACAAGTTTGTGAAAATGGAATTTCGCTAGGTCAACTCCGTTGAGCCTGGTGGCTTCTTGACCACACCCTTCGCACGCGAACTTCAATCCTCCGAAATTGCACTTCTCTCCATAAAGCTGAGACCTTAAGGACTGTGATACTGACTCGTGTATCCTCTGCACAGATGCCATGGTGAAAGGAACGGTCAGATTCCGCGCAGTCTTGACGATGGAGTAGCTCCTGTACTGTATTCCTCTGAGCGGGGACAGGAATCAGGTGCTTGGGCGAACAGGTCCGAGGCTCAGCTCTGTCTCAGTTTGAATCAATGTGATTTTTTGATAGTCTTAACGCCCAGGAAGTGAAATGCTTGCTAGGATTGTTTTTTTTTCCGAATCGGAAAGATACTGCACGAGTCAGTGACGTGCTCAAAATTAGCCGGGGGTTCGAAGATTGTTACAGACCAAATCTTTTCCCAAATCAAGTAGCTTTTTGTTCATAGATGAGCTTCGAGGCTTCGCTGGATTATCAACGTCCGAACACAGCACATGACCAGGACTACAATATTCACAAAATGAAGATAAATCGTATGGTACAACAAAGTCGAGGTCTGTAAGATAGAAGCCGTGTTTCAGGGCCAGTAGTCAGCTTCGTACCACTTAGAGATCAGAGTCTGTCCGGTATCTCATGCAGGGCCTGCGGAAGTTGTCCGTCGGCGGCTTCGACTCTTCTCGGCATTTACTCGCAGATTGAGTCCTAGGATGGGCCTCTTTAAGTGGGGCATAATCGCCGCAGTCAACATGTATCGATTTGTTGATTTGTAACCGTGTGCGGACTTATACTCCGACAACATGCTGTCCAATGAAAGTTGCGGGTCAAAGCCTCGCCACAGGTCTAAGGCCGATCTCGCACAAGATTCTAATAAGGGGGTATAATCAATGCCATTTGGAGGTTGGTTGAACACATGAAATTGTGATATTGGTGCGAGTGAAGGGTGGGTTGCCCAGTCTTTTCTTAGGACGAATTGCTATCTTCCACGCTCTGGTGGAACTCTCTCTGAACCGTGATTGCATTCTTCGGCATCACTACCAGCTCTATCGTATCCTCTTCACTCTCCTCCGTGTGTGAGCCTTCATGTACTTGGGTCACAATTGTATTTCCAGTCTCATGGGTTGTTCCGTGGGACAGGTTGCCATTCGGTAGTCGAATCCATTGTTCATCATTAGCTGCACTGACGCCGCGGGGTCTTCGGCCAACACTTTTCGAGCCGTACATGTTCGATCCGTATCCGTACTGTCGGTGAGGTGTCTTGGGGGCGGACGAGCTATTGCCAGTACGGCTGGTCATCTTCTGAGCGGCTGAGCGGAAGAGCCGGTAAATGATCGGGAGGTTGGCGCAGAGGATGCCTCCAAAGGATTCGAAAGCGGATAGAACAGCCAAGGGGACACCCTCCCCTGCGTATGATGTCAGTCAATTGAAAACATGCCATGTTCGAACCCTTCAAATTGACTTACAGGTGATGTCACTAGAGTTCTGTGCGAAGACATAAGCTAGTCTGGCTGCACTAATGGCGCATGTGCTGGAGATGAACCATGGAGTATTAGATAAAAGCACCGGATGTGAAGCTTCCTGGACAGAAAAGCCTTACATGAAGCCAATAGAGAATATGATACACAGTGCAATCTTTTTGGTGGAGGTCGTGCGGAGCCGGAGAATGACGGGTATTGGTAAGGCGAAGATGAATATGTCCGTAAGCATATTAGAGCAGTTAATGTAGTATGACAGAGCCGAAGAATTGAAGCAGTGACCCTTGACAGACGGGTTCCAGAATGCAGCTAGCGGACGACAGAGCACTCCCATGAAGATTTCAATAGTTGTTATCCAAAGGCAGATAAAAATCGCGCATCCTATCACTGTTCTCGATAACCATTGCACAGGGAAAATGCGGTAGTATAGGGCGAGGATACCAAGCTTGGTCGACGCGAGACCTACGTTGTAGAGATGACTAGCAACATACTCTCCCTAATCAAGTTAATCCTCTGCTTCGAATCAATCTGGGTTCATTGCACTGTACCTTTAAGAAGATTTTCAGGTCCTTCACCGAGACGGTGGAGGTATGTTTGCCAAAACCATGACCCAAACCTAGGGCTCTCAGTCATTGTTCTTGTTCTTTGTGATGCTACTTGCGTCACCTACCACAAGCCATCATCGTCACTGAGTATGCCACTTCCAATGTCTACCTCCCAGAAATAAGATCGTCAGCTTCCATTGAGAAATTGGCCACCTTGGAAGGGAGAACCCACTGTTGCAAGCATTATCAGGTAGTCATCCATGTGGAACTTGTCATCCTGACCTCGAATCTTGACCATCAACCTCATTCCCGTGGTCAACAGCACCCCGGCCATCGGTACGACATAACCCACGATCACAAGAGCTTCTCTCGAGGCAGACTGTTCCAGGCTGGCCATGATGGCGAGTGAATCGCTCGGCAAGAGGCATCAGTCGACTTAATTGTGCATCGAAAGTGTTGATATGGAATATCAGGGAGAGCTGCAAGATTTTGATTCTTTGTCTGCAGCCTGCCATATCTGGCGCGCATATAGGGGCCCTAGAAGCCCCATCGTCTCGTAATTATCGCGCTCCTTCGAGGCGAGCTGACAGGCATTCGATCCTTGCGCCCCGCTCGGAGACTGGCCGTCAGGTACGAAGTTTTGCTTTCACGGAGAAGGCACTTTCGAGATGGCGTGAGACAGGGATCTAGATCAAGATCCATACCAATGCCACTGCCGACAAGCCGCTTCTCGGGACCGAGCGGGAACCGAGATGAGAAAGTGGACCATGGAAGGATCCTGCGCGTGGTTGCGTATTCCGTAAAAGAAAACACATTTTGAGACTGGCAGGAAGATGCAATGCCAATGAAACATTCTATCGAGTGACAGGGATTGGGAATTGGGATCGCCGATGATGGCTCCAGGATAGGACCGACAAACAGTACAATACACTGCTACTAGTGTATTACCCGGGCGGTATCCGTTGTGACCGGACCCGGTACCGGGAGGGCCGCAGAGCCAAAAGAGCTGCCAAACTCAAGTTTCCGTTGTTCCCCCCTTCCTCTTCCCCACTTCGCGCGATCGACCATCTCCCTCCCTCTCCATTAGTTTGCGGTCCGCCATGCACCGACCAGACTCTAGTCACTTACAGGTGGCTCCTCATAAATTGATTTGTGGGAGTCACTGGCCTGATGGGTCAAACGAGATTGGAGGTGGAGATGGTCAAAATCCTCCAACCATGGCCTTTTTCCCTCCAACTGTTGCTGCTGCCTTCCCGCAACTCACCCACAATTCGTGGTATCCTGCGCGTTTACATGAAGACGACTTCCTGATGCAGCACAAACCAGCCTCGCTACGACATTCCATTTCAGCAGCTTGAGACATGTTTCTCTCATGGTCTATAGCTGCCACTCCTCCGCCCGAGCCACCTCAGCCTCCCAAGCCCAAGGTGCGGTCTCGTACGGGCTGCAACACCTGTCGGCGTAGACGGGTAAAATGCGATGGTATGTATACCGTTCCTCGAGCAGGAAGGCAGAAAGTGATGGCTCACATACAAGCGTTCCTTCCTGCTTCTAGAAACTCATCCCACTTGCATGCGATGCAGGCGGTCCGGATATGCATGCAGCTATGAGGTCCGCTTGCAGTGGGAGGACGAAATGCGTGCAGTAGGCAAGTGTCATGGACGAACAGGCGTTCAATCGACGATGAAATCACCTGTGCGCAAACGATTGGCTGACACGGCCATGGAGCCGTGGACACGGACCAAACGCAAAGATCAGGATGTTACCTGTCAGGCTGATGGCGAAGAGAAAGCTGTGTCGATCGGCTCTCCACCCGCCTGCCACAGTCCACAACAAAACATGGTAGCCAGCGACCAGGCTCCGGAATCCGTCTACCAGCGCCGCTACTATCAATGGGATCGACGCAAATCAGTGTCAATAGCCAGGGCACTGCCTGTTCTCCCATGGAGTATTGGCATACCGGACGTTGATCATTTGTGTCTATCGTTCTATGAATCTGTCATGTGTCCCGTCGCTGTCACTGTTGACGATGAGGATAACAATCCGCTCCGCAGTACGGTGATGCGTATGGCTTTCAGGTCGGAGTTGACGTACTATGCAGTCCTCATGGCTAGTTCTCAGTATATGCGCTCGTTTGACTCACGATACACAATCTTGGAGATGCAAGTGCGGCAACGGGTACTTGGAGGGTTGCGACAAGCATTGGCACGAGAGTCTTGGGACACTGAGGATGTCCTCGTGCCAACAATCTTTCTTTGCTCCTCGGCAGTGAGTGATGAAATCCTTTTGTAATGTCCTTCTGGTATCGACCTTCGCCCTGATTATGATTACTAGATTTCTGCGAGCTGCGACTCGTCCTGGGTGCGTCATTTTACCTGCTTCCAGCTCCTTGTCAAGCGGGCAGCTCAAGGGAGCTTTTGCAAGTCCTTCCTGCACCGATTCTTTGTCAGTTACTTCTCTGCACATCTGGTACTCGCCAAGTCTATGTTTCCCATTGAGGGTTTGCTGCCTGTCGTTGAACCACCACTTTATCTTGACACTAAGAGCACACCGGCTCTTACCCTGGATCTGCGCGAGACTTCCTGGACCTCGACAGCCGCCTTGTTGGGCGTGATGGATTCGAACACTCTTCATCAAATAGACATATGGAATGGCCTCAGTAATCACCTTCTACTCTTGATAAATGACACATTGACTATCAGAGAGGATGTTCTTGCTTTCAATCGCCGTCATACTTCGGATCCACCGACCATGATTGTTGCAGCTCAAGCGTCAATTGAAACCAAGATACTAGGCTTGAGAGCCAGCATTGGCAATGTCACGCAAACGCTTCCAGATTCATCGTCATCGTTGACCTACCGCCATGCCACCGAACGCGCTAACTCATACCGCTTGCTAGAGCATACAGGCGAGGCTTATCGTCTTGCCGCTTTTCTGCTCCTCTCTGAAGCATCCAAATCTTCATTCTTAGGGTTCACGCCAACTAACATCAAAGAGTTTGATTCCGTGCAAATACAGGACCACGTCCACACAATTCTTACTCTGGTGGATAAGATTGTATCAAAGCTAGACTTCTTACCCATCTCCTGGCCTCTATGGCCCCTCTTTATCGCGGCTTGTTGTAGCGACCCAGACTCGGAGGCACAGGCCAAGGCTCTAGCGTTGTTTCGGACTGCTCGAGAAAAAGCGCCATACGAAAACACAATGAGAGCACAGACCTTAGTTGAGCTGCTATGGAAACGCCGTACGCTAAATGAAGATGGAGTCACACAGATACGCGTTGGTCGCTTCGAATGGGAGGAGGTTATGGAGTTTCTAGGGTGGCAAACAAGTTTTGCTTGACTTGTTTGGCTTGAGATACAACAATGATTCAATGACGACTACTTGAAGCGTTGACTTGCATCAGTCTTCTGCATATTATTTATGTTCTTGAGTCTAACAACGCAGAATTCAAGAGACTGTCATTACACTCAAAGATTAGACTCGTTGAAGTCCGTCTCTCCGGCCATCATTCTACTTTTTTTCAGTTAGAGGCAATATCGGTAGCTCTGATTCTGCCAATCAGAGACATCTCCGTCACCACCCATGTCGAAGGACGCATCAGTCGCATCGTCCGACTTGCTTGACTCGGGCTCGATGGTTCGTCCCTGCTTGCGATCGCGTCGCTTGTTTTCCCAGACCATATAGCAGCGGAAGCCAATGACATCAAGTACAGCAAGGCAGAAGCACGCAAGGATTGCTGAGAATGCAGTCTAGTGCGGAAGTTAGCTGATTTGTCCCTCTTCGAAGCATTAAGAATCCACTTACGTTATAGCGAGGGGCCTCAGTGCTCTTGAAAAGTTGCGGGCCAGCAATGTTGCCAACACAATAGGCAATGAAAATAAGAGCAGTCACAGTGCCCTTCTTGGTAAAGCCCGCTGTGTTGCTGGAGAGCAAACTTAGACTCAGTGGCCAGCCGGCTCCGAAGACAGTCACGAGCCAGACTCCCACCAGTCTACCCCATTTCCGATGCGTGGGTAATTGCCGCATGAGAAGGATACCTACCAGACTGATCAAGAGAGTGAAGATCATCCAGTAGCAGCGCAGGCCAGGGAAACGGTTGCACGTCACGGCGATGGCGAAGAGCATGACAAGAGCGACAGCAGACAAGGGGATCTCGTATAGTAGTGTGTGAAAAGTGTCAAAACCGAATGACTCGATGACAATACTGGCGAACTACTTAGACTCAGCAGGTTGCTTTTTGCCGGGCTCTTCTGGGGTAGTCTCGGAGCGGGTCTACTGGGAAACTTACATTGGTGATGCCGCCATTCGGCAATGAGACAAAGAAGTTGTACAACACTAGGAACCAAGTATTTGGATCGCCCAGCGCCTCAATGAACTGGTCTTTCTTCCACCTCCGACTCTGATAACTCTTCTGAGATGCTTGTGCACGATGGTAGGCTGGGCCTCGCTGATCAGGCTTGAGGAACTTGGCGTTGAGGGGCGAATCGGGCAGAGTGAAGAACAGGAAAACCGACCACGCGATTGAAATCAGGCCGAATATGATGAATAGCCACTATTTCGAGGACAAGGAAATGTCAGTCAGTAGGTTCAACAAGGTTCAGGCTTCGTGGCAATGCCTGGTGTCTTAGCCTTGCCGTGAGCTGCATTCCACATACCTGCCAGGCGCCCAAATGATCATCAATATGACCAATGGCGTACGCAAGCACACCTCCAAAGATGGCGGCTATACCGTTCCCCGAGAACCAGATGCAACTCCTCATCGCATGCTCAGACGGGGTATACCACATGCCAATCAGCATGGTAAATCCCGGGCTGATTGCACTTTCGAACACCCCGAGAAGGACTCTCAGTGAGGTCAAACCAGCGAAATTCGAAGCTGCTGCATGACAGGTCAGGATAACAGCCCACAGGATCCTTCACCATATGTCAGCTCGACTCATTGAATGCAAGGCTGCTTCATTGAGGGGTAGAAAGAGGGCTAACATCATAACAGAAAGGTATTTTCCGATGGGGAACTTGATGAAACCCAATGACACGGGATACGAGGCAACGAGGTAGCCGAAGTAAAATGCGCTTGATGCCCATGCATATTGTGCAGTGGTTATATGCTAGCTCCGCCACGAAACGTTAAATCAAAATGAGTTATGGTTGAGGATGGTCAAACAATCATACCGTTCCACTCAGAAGGCCTAGGATTGAGGTATAGGATAGAGTTGTTTTGTCGAGGTACTGCAGCAAGTACGAGAAGAACATCAGGGGAAGCAAACTATGACAACGAGTGTCAGATTAGGTCTTCTGAGAATATCCCGAGATCGGTATCGAGTCTCGGCCTCAAGACAGCGACGTACCAGAGGTCAATTCGACGCAGGATGGCTTTCTGTTCCCCATCCGAAATATGCTGAACATCGTCGACAGATTCATGAGGGCCCTTGGAGAACGACTTCTCGTCCGCCGTCATAGGCGGCGTGGTATCCTCCGAAGGAGCCATACTTTGTGTCTTGTTCCTCTGCTGGTGATGTGACAGAACCCTTTGGTTCTTTCAATGTTTCGAAATTCGAACTGAAGATGGCAGAACATTCGAGAGGCGGGCAGGTAGAAGTACCTCATCCGATCACAGCATGCTTTCGCTCATTCGAATGTACTTCGCGCGCAATTAATTAACGGGCGGAGGCTTGTTTCGCCCTATGCGGGCCTGGTGTCTGCTAGTCTACCGGTGGCTGTATTATTTCACCAGTATTACCGTCACGTCTGGTATGTCTCACTATTCTCAATGGGGTCGAAAACCGCTCGCTTCGACCTACTTCATTGACCCGTGCATAGCAAATGTGGATCACATTAGAGATTGGGGATACCATCTATCTGAACCGTGCAATGCTCGCATTGTGGTTGTACGACGAACAGTCGTATGAGCATCAAAGCTCTCGTTTTGACGAGGCTCTAGCCCTCAGCGACTTCTGCTCCGAGCCATGCCACCCAAGAATTAGAGAAACATGTTCTAAGTACTTTTTCCGCACACTCACATGTCTAGGTGCATGCTTTGGCCAGTATGGCATGGTCTGCGATGGCTTGCTGTCACTGTCCAGGCCAGGCTAATATGTGACCGGCCCGCAAGGGCATTTATACTTACCTTAGTCACAGGAAATGCGGAGCAATGTCCTGGAGCTATCGGAGCATTTGTGGAGCATGCAGCCTAGCGAAAGTGCTATAATATAAGCAGACTCAGAGGCTCGGATTTGAAGACATCCCTAATCATGACTCCGTGGATTCACCCCTGACTCCTCCTTTCCACCCCTGCATCTAATCTCACGACAACCTTGATGCAATAATGTATCGATCACTCACAGACGACAGCCTCTACCGCATCGATGCCGATCTCCTCATTCCGGGGCAGGGAGAGCCCCTTCTCCACGGTGCCGTGGTCTGGAAGTCCAAGTCTATTCTCTACGTGGGACGTCAAACCGACGTACCTCAAGAATACCAAGACGCAACGGCGTCGCACGTTCCCGTGGTGATGCCGGGGCTGTGGGATTGCCATATCCACTACATGGGCGCTACGTCGGCGACGATGGACGCGGTCGTCAAAACCACACCCGCTTTAGCCGGGGCCCGAAGCGTCCCCGACCTCCACGCAACTATCATGGCAGGGTTCACCTCCGTCCGTGAAGTAGGTGGCTACGCGTGCGAACTCGCGCTTGCCGTGAACGAGGGCCGCATCCTCGGACCCACCATCTACGGCGCTCACAGCGCCATCAGCATGACCGCCGGCCACGGCGACGTGCACGGCATGCCCCTTCATCAACTCCAGGACATGTGCGCCCACGGGCTCCCCCTGACCATTGCCGACGGGGTGCCAGAGTGTCTGCAAGCCGTGCGCAAGCAGCTCCGTCACGGCGCGCGCGTGATCAAGGTCTGTGCCAGCGGAGGGGTCGTCAGCGCCATCGACGACCCCCAGCACCAGGAGTTCTCCTTCGAGGAGATGAAAGCTATCGTTGACGAGGCTGCGCGCGCCAAACGCGTCGTCGCCGCCCACTGCCACGGCAAGGCTGGGATCATGAACGCGCTGCGCGCCGGGTGTCGCACCATTGAGCACGGCAGCTTCCTCGACGAGGAGGCCGTCGAGCTGATGCGCGAGAAAGGCGCCATCCTAGTCGCCACCCGCAGCGTGATTGAGACGGGCCTATCGATGCGCCAGCTCTTCACGCCGGGATCATATCAGAAGCTGCTCGAGGTAGCTGATGCACACAAGCAGGCGTATCGGTTGGCGGTTGCGCGCGGGGTCACCATCGCCCTGGGCACGGATCAGTTCATCAGCTCGGATAATCCGGCTGTTGCGTATGGGCGCAACGGCAAGGAGCTGGAATACGCGGTGGAGGCGGGAATGACGCCCTTGGCTGCGATTGAGGCCGCCACGGCGAATGGGCCGTTGACGCTGGGGGACCAGGCGCCCAAGAGTGGGCGGCTGCTCGCTGGGTATGATGCCGATATCATTGCGTTAGCGGCCAATCCGCTCGAGGATATCACGATAATAGGGAATTCGAAGAACGTGACGCATGTTTGGCGTCAGGGAAAATTGGTCAAGTCTTAGAATTCATCTCGGTAGTGATATTGTCAGTCAAATTTCATGAGCAGCCCAACGAAGTAGTACAGTAGAAAGCTGAAAAAGGAGGGAAGGGGGATGAGCTTGATTTATGCTCCTTTAGTGATTACAAGATGGTAGTGATTGATCACAATGACGCCAGGTGCATTCATGGTTTGGTTCAGCCACGTCTTGTGTCTTGCCTTCAGCCCGCTTATCTCGCTAGACTGCATCATGATTTCGCTTCACTCCTCTCCGTAGATGGGAGCGGATTGGAGCAGGCAGGACCAAGCAGTGAGACTGGAATCATTATCCGCTTTTCTGTGTCGTTCTTTTGATCTGTCCTTAGTTCCATGTGGAAGTAGTCTCAATCGTTCACCAAGTCAGGGCCTTCTACGAATGGCATATGTGCCCTACCGCTGCACTAATCAGCTGTTCAGACAGAGATTAATCATTATCCTAGCCCGTGAACCAAAGCTCTTACTATCATCACCACAAGGACAGTGGTGTGAGGTGAGGCTAGTTGTGGGTGCCATATTTCGACAAACAAACTCACATCCACGCACTCCTTCCGGGTGTCTTAGGTAGCTTTTGGTGTGAAAAATATAGAGTACTTCTGCATGGAACCATAGAATGCTTCTATTGAGCAAGAGCCTAGCATAGACCAATTGCAATCCACATCGTCGGGTCTAGTAGCTCAAGTCAGATCGTACATTCTGGAGCAGACATGTTCCGCAAGATGTGTTGTTCTTCGCAAGTGGTAATGGTTGGCGTGTTTACTATCCATCCAGAAGGGATAAATGTCGATAGCGGTGAGGGATGGCAATATGCATGTGGCCGTACTGACAAGGAGTCGCAATTGCAACGAGGTAACCGCGAGATCCTCCCAAGTCTTCGACGGGGCCATTATTCTTCAGGCCCCTTAGCTGCTCATGATGGCCCCGAGGGATGAAGGGAAAAGATCAAATTCAGAGTACCTATCAAACGGAAACGACACCGCCCCGCGCCGCTCATCCTTCGAACCCAAGCAGCCGTTCCCGCCTCTCCCCGCGGACGATTTCGCGACCAACACTGTCGTCGAGGTACAAACCAACACATATACCAAGAATGATGACAACCAGGATCTGCCGTCGCCCTTGCATGCAGACGTAGAAGCCGAGGACGATGCAGACTTCCAGTCGCAATACTCTCTGGACGACCAATCATTCTCCGATGCATCCACGGACTCGGAGCCATCGCCGGAGGATGGCATCTCCATGCATCATCCATTCCGGCAGTCGTCCGGCTCACTGCACGGTCCGAACGCGTTTGCACCTCCATTCTACAATCGCCCTCCAACACCACTACCACCGTCTCCCTCGTTGACCTCTCTCCTTCGCCCTCCGTTCTCCACCACCACTTCGCGACCGACCACCCCCGACAGCTCGGATGTGGAAACGCCCAACGACACGGAGGCTGCTGTCGCGAAGTCCGCGCGGCGGGCAACAACAGTCCCACGGGCTAGCCCCAAGGTTCCAACGTATGAATACTACGGCTTCGTTCTGTATCTTGCGTCCTCGTTGGCCTTCTGTGAGTGCAACCCCGGGCTGAAACCCAGCGCAACGAGCAAGTCTAATCACCTTTTCTTCCCTAGTGATCTACATCCTTTGGTCCTACCTCCCCTCCCCCTTCCTTCACCAACTCGGTATATACTACTATCCCAACCGATGGTGGTCACTGGCCTTCCCTTCCTGGCTAGTCATGTCTATCATCTACATCTATGTCGCGCTAGCCTCCTACAACACCGGCTATCTCACGCTGCCGATGAACAGCGTGGAGAATATTGTGGACGAGGTGGCCAATGTCGCGGTCATTGACGGCAAGGGTCGACGACGACCCGGGGGCGGAGCCAAGATGAGGCCCGGTGCGACATCGTATCAGATCATGGGCCCGCAGAACCGCAAGATCAACTGGAAGGAGATCTGGAGCGAAGGTACAGATGCTGTGCTGGATGTTCCTGTGGGCGGTGTCTGTGAGGTTCTGTACGGGCAGGAAAGGGATGATGATGAGTTATGTGAGGATTTTGTTGAGTATTCATAAATTGAGCTGCGGCAGCAATTCGCGTCGAGAGAATGATTGAGTGGCAGGAATGTGCCAGCTCGGACCTCAGCCTGTCGCGGATGCGCTTCTCCTGACTCTTATCGTAGTTATTTCCTTCCTTATCATCACGTGAAAGGAATCACAGCCCGCTCTCCCTTTTTGTGCGTCCTTCCTGTTATAGTGGTGAAATGCGCAGGATTGACGAACCTTCCATGTGTTTCCTGACTGTTTTCTAGGGATTCTTTGTGGCTATTGTAGAGGTAGGTATTGAGGTCTATATGCAGCGAGACTTGCCCCCTGTTGAGTGGACGGAAAAGAGTGCCATAGGTTTTGTTTTTTGTTTTTTGTTTTTTTGTTTTTTTTTTTGGATCTATCACAGAGCTTAATGGTAGCTTAGCCCAGTACGTAGTACTTTTGAAGTGGACTTTGACTTTAGGTAGTAGGCAGGGTGCAAAGCAGTCCAGTCGCCAACACCACCACCCTTATCGCACTACTCCACCCCAATAGACACACTTTTGAGTCAATTGCGATAGCTGGTCTATTGACCGCAATGAATTCAAAGAGGTTGGGAAAAGTCAATGCCCCGTGGCCAGCCCACCACTTTTCTTTCACCAGCCAGCGCTAAAAGCGGTTAAGGCCGCGTGGGCGCCTAGGGAGCCAACGACAGCTCGGCGGCGGCGGTGGCTTTCCCCGACCTCAACTCGCAAGCAGCAACTGGAGAGAAACGCGCACCGGTGACCACTCAGTGACCAGTGACCAGCGACCAGTGAACCAGTGACCACCGTCCCAGCAGTCCCTCCACCACTACCACCACCACCGCCCCCCAAATCTCTCGGCTCAAGCTTGCATCGCTGACCCTTCTCCTTTCCTTGTCCGCTGGAAGTTCCCTCCTGCGACCGTTGATTCTTCTCACAGCGAGATTTCGCATTGTTTGTTTTCCTATCCATCGGTGCTGACCCGGTCTGGAACGTGGTGTCCTGCCGTTGTCGCCCCGTCATTGACCCTGTTGAACTTACCACCACCTATCTCCCAAACAGAAGTGCGACCTCCCCCCCGAGAGTTCCACTGATCAGTATCGCTCCCCCCTCCTCAGCTCGGACCATTTTCCCTCCGCTTGCGATCGCCGGAGCTCATATTCCGGCTCGCCTCGCCGCTTGATCGTCCGCTTCCCCCATTCCCATTGTTGATCTCGCATGGCTTGGCAGTCTCCCTCGGCCATGGCTGGGGGTGGAGGCTTCGTCGGGCCCGGAGGTGATGGGTCCCCCAATGGCGGGCAACCCCAGGGCACAGAATACACTTTACAAGGTGAGTCGAGGCTCCGAGGTTTGGGCGCGGAATCCAGGGGAGGGACACGAAAGCTAATTCTTCCCTTGTCCGTTTTGTCGTGGTGGTGTAGGTGTGATGCGCTTTCTGCAGACCGAATGGCACCGGCACGAACGAGACCGCAACGCCTGGGAGATTGAGCGCGCGGAGATGAAGTCCCGCATTGGCAAGCTAGAGGGCGATGTCCGCACGAGTAAACGCTTACATGAGTCGCTGGGGAAGCACGTCCGCTTGCTGGAGGCCGCCCTGAAGAAGGAGCGCGAGAAGGTCAAGAAGCTCAGTAACAATGAGAAGGTCGATGACACTCGAGATCCGAAGGAGATCGCCCGGGAGAGTATCAATGCGTTAAAAGGTTTCTTTTCTCTCTTTCTCCTGCTGTATTATAACTTGTCTGCTCGCCCTTCACGATTTACTGACTATCTAATCCGTCTTAGCTCAACATCCTCGGCCGCAAGGCGATGTGACCGATGCGGAGCATAATCCTGAAAACCACCACGAGTTCCGCCAAGAGAACGAGCGGGATAAGTCGCGGATATATCTGTCCAAGTGCTCGCAGGAAGTTGCGTACCATGTCATTCCTTCATCCCACCCGCCCCCCGATCTCAGTGATCAAGACCTTCCGAACCATATCTACGGCAATCAGCAGCAAATGTCACAACAGACCTTGGAGGAGGTCTACCTGCAGCAACAGCGGCAGAAACAACACCAGCAGCAGCAGCAGGCGAACAACATGATGGCTCGGGAAGTGGCCCTGCAGAATCACCAGCCCATCATCACGCATTTCCCGGACAACGCCGCCCTTTCTCGTGCTCCTAGCCAGTTCGGCTATCCTCCTGGCTCGAGGGAGGCAATGGAGAGAAGACCCATGGAACCGCAACAGACCCCGATTACTGCCCTGGAAAACCGGAAGCAAGGGTTCGAATCTGCCCCAATGGAAGAGCGTGCTGGCACGGGGGAGCAGGTATATAATGGATACGGTTCGCAAGTAACAACCAAGGAGGGGACCCGGCAACAGCAACCTGTAGACGATGCAGATGGTTGGAATTTTGATGAACCTACGGATGCAGCTCCCCCTGCTGAGCAAATACCTCCTCACCGCCCCGATGTCGATGCTTTCCCAAATGCCAATTTTGTGGGCGCCAAGTCTCCGGCGCGGGGTGGTTCAGTCTCCCATCGCCGAAAGAGCTCCGGTGCCAGAAGGAAGAGTGAAGGTGCTGCAGATCTTGCGGCGTCGAAACCAGATACTTCCTTCAAGGTTCGTTTCGCTCTCCGAGGTCACTTGGATGTTGTCCGTTCCGTAATCTTCACGGGTGGCGGCAGCCCTTCAGAGCCTGAGATCTGTACGTGCGGCGATGATGGGACAATCAAGCGCTGGATTATTCCGGCAACCTATGGTACGTTTGGCGCCCACGGCGCCAACTCGAGCAACGATCTGGACATCACGAGCTACTTCACCCACCGCGGACATGTAGGAGCTGTGACTGCGCTAGCGGCTTGCTCGCCTTCACAGAACTTCTCCAACGGTGGTCGCGCGCTTGGCGATGGGTGGGTGTTCTCCGGTGGACAGGACTCCAGCGTGCGTGTCTGGGAACGTGGAAGGGTTGATCCCAAGGCCACACTTGAAGGTCACACGGATGCAGTATGGGGCCTGTGTGTTCTTCCTGGAACAGCGGGATCTGTCTTTGGCGATTCCTGCAGCCATTACGGCGGGCCTGATCGGATCCTGCTTGCGTCGGGTGGTGCCGATGGGCGGATTATCATCTGGGCAGTCAGCGCACCACCTCAGCTTTCGTCACCTCAAGCAGGATCCCGACGAGCGGGAGGCAGCCGGCGAGCTAACTCTATCTCGTCCGGTTCCAACTTCCCATCGTCGCCACAGCCGAGCACGGCAACCACCACGCCGTTCCACTACACAATGGTCCGTCAGATCGTGCGCTCGGATTCCCCTTCGCCTACGTGTATCAGTCCATTGTCGCTTGCAGGTATCAACTTTGTTGTCTCCTACACCGACGCATCGATCCTAGTTTACGATACGAGGACGGGTGAGGAAATTGCAGGGATGGCCAGTCTAGAAACGTACGACGGCACGCCCTCGACCGGGGTCAATGCGGTTGTTGCCACAACAGTCGGATTTGATGGCTCGGCCGGCCTTGATCCCAGCCGGACAATGGCGGAAGAGGAGGTTGTTCATGGCGCGACTGGGTCAAGCGGTGCCGAGGGGGTGATTATCAGCGGATACGAGGACCGTTATATTCGTTTCTTCGATGCTAACAGCGGTATGTCATGTTCTGACGATGACTTTTTCGCGGATACTAATTTGCACTCGTCCAGGCCAATGCACATACACTATGCTCGCTCACCCGTCAGCGATTGCCTCGCTCTCCCTGTCTCCAGATGGACGAGAGCTTGTGTCGGCAGGCCACGACGCTAGTCTGCGGTTTTGGAACCTCGAGAAGCGGAGCTGCACTCAAGAAATCACGAGTCACCGGCTGATGCGTGGTGAAGGAGTGTGTTCTGCCGTGTGGAGCCGCGACGGCCGCTGGGTAGTCAGTGGAGGAGGCGATGGCGTCGTCAAGGTCTTCTCAAGATAACGAGGGGGGTTAATTTAAAGCTTCCGCGATGTATGAATCCGTTTCTTTTTGTTTCCAGCTGATACTTTCTTATGGCATGTTCCTTGGACGCATGAAATGGATGAGCGATTGGCCAGTTTCTTGAGCATTTGCAACGGTCTTCAATACCTGGCATATGTTCCTTTCTACTTTGTGATTATAGTTCTTATTTTCCTCTTCATACCTTTTTTTATTCGATCGGCTGCATCGCTCGCCACCTTTTCCTTTCGGGGACATTGTGCTTCCCCATTTTGATACATTTTCCAACCAGATAACATCATGGGACTGGAATCAAGACGGCTGCAGCTTTGCGTTGCGATTGTTCAAGCATTCTCCCCTGGGTTGTGGCAAGGACCCCGGATTTCTGTTACACCAAGCTTACTGATACCTCTGCCATGCATCTTGTGTATGCATCTTACATCGCCATCGTCTTCGTGAACATCTACCGTGCTTCCTTGGATGTTGTGCGGTTTTTTGATCCTCTAGTATGCCCGGGGTTGTGCTTCTGGGCTGTATAATGATTGCCGTGTTTGCTATCCTCTTGCGTTAGAACCTTCCTGAATGGACCTGTACATTTTCTGCCCCTACATGGCTGGACATAATACTTGAGTAGTAGACGTGCACCGCCCGCTGCACTAGCTGAAGCACCAATTGAGGCACATGGTACACAAGAAAGAAGATTTGATATTCACATCCCCAACATTAGATATAAACAAGGGTGTCATTTACCCTTTAGGTATCGTACCCCGCCCACCAAGCCATCAACCCGAACAAAGGACCAAGGACAAAGGGCAAAGAACATCACTTGCTCCCCTCCCACGCCTCGCGAAACAGCCCCCTCAACCTTCTCGCCTCCTCCGCATCCTTCACCCTCTGCTCCAAGAACCCCTGCAAATCCTCCCAAAACGCCTCCGTCTTGACCACCTCCTCCCCACTCGGCCCAACCGCCGGCTTGCTAACCGGCTCCGCTGCCGTATCACCCTCGTGTTCTCCTTGTCCTTCACCCTCGGCAACAACCCTCCCACCCCCGAGCACCATAACCGCAACCTCCACCTCCTTCCCGCCGACCAACAACGCCGGCTCCTCGCTCAACATCTCCGCCAGCGTCTTGTTCCCCGTGACGGGCTTCTTGCGGTAGAGGATCTTGATCTTCTCGAGCGCGGGCTTCGCGTTCGCAGTGTCGACGATCCGCGCCCGCGCCGCGTCCTTCAGGTCGGTGGCGGTCGTCGTGGCGAGGGGCACGTTGGGCAGGCGGAGTTCCAGCGCCGGGTTGCGGGCGGATTTCAGGACCACGGTGATGGATTTCGAGGAGCCCGGGACGGCCGCGGCGGGGGCTTTCTTCTTGGGCATTGTTGTCGGGCGCGGGGGTTGGAGGCGGGGGAGGAGGTGCTGTTTCTTCTGTTAGGGCTTGGGTTTGGATGGGGGGCGG